TAGGGATAATCCCCAAAGGGACAAGGGCAGCCTCTGCTCCCACCGCCATTTCAGCCTACTGAATTCACATCGCCCATTGCATTGACTGATAGGGTAGTCAATGTCCAGTACAAGAGAACACAAGATGAAGGAGCCCAACAGCTTCTTTCTCTGTCTCTGCCCAGTGTTATTTGCTTTGCATAACCACAGGATAGTGCTCTTATTACTCTCCTCAGCTGAGGTAGGGTACCACCAGTGACAGCTCGTTTCCCATTCAACCTTCAATGGACTGAGAGAGAAAAGCAAGCCATGCAAGAGAACAAATACTATATCCCCAAATATGGGGGCCTCAAAACGCCCACCATCCCTGCAAAAAACACCACCAGAGCCTATGTGATCTGATAACATCCAGAAAAACAGGCAACTTGCTTGCCCCACCACCTGGCGAGGATGCTGCCATCTTCATGATCTGCTGCTGCCAGTGTGGTCTGTGCCTGTCTACACGTACAGGCTCTGCTGCAGAGGAGGAAACAGGGCTGAGTGCCCAAGAAGCTCCTCCTCAGCTCCTGCCCTGCACAGAACCAACACAAACTCCTGCTGTGCATGGCCAACAGCTTCCACCAGCAGCTCTCAACAGCCCCTTTACACCTGCCAGACTATATCTTTAAAACAACCAGCCGCATCTCTGACCTCAAGCTGCAGATGGCAGAGAACAGATGCACAGATCTGAAAAGACACCCAAAACACTTTAAAAAGACTTTAAAAAACCCAACACATAAATGGATTAAAAGATCCAATAAGAAGCAGAGATTGTGACTGTACACTGACCAATCCAGGTCTCTCTTCTTACATACACATAGACACCACTGAAGTTTCAGCTTTGCCAGGAACACAGAGGAGAAACTCTGCAGGAGTCCTCCTGCCTGCCTTGTACCAGACCGAAGGTGCTGCCTGCCCATAAGGACTGGCTGCAGTGATTTCTAGCGGGTCCAGCTGATCTTACTGCAACGTATCCTCGCCACCCTGGAACTACCACACACGGAAAACTCCACCTTAGCATGGAAACCTCCAACGCTAGGTTATTTCAAGGTCTCTTTTTAAGGAGGCAGAGCAGAAGAGAAGGAGGAGGAGTTTTAAAACTGGTGACCTTTCTGACACTGGGCAAACATAAGGCAGAGTGATGATTCAGGAAAACAAACTCAGACTCCATGCTTCGCACGAAATGGATGCAGGGACAAAAGACAGCCCGAGTCCTGTCTCCCGCCAGGTAAGTTGTACGCAAGTCCACAGCAGCCACGTTGGAGCCAGAGACGCAGCGGTAGCACCCTCAGGAGAATGATGGCTTTTCACAGAGCTGCACAATAAGGAGGCACCTTTTCTGGGAGGCAAAGAGCTAAGCCAGACAGAGATTGTGAAAGACCTGGGCAAGAAGAGTGTGTGGGAAAAGCAGAGGGGAGAAACGGGCTTAGAGGAAAACCACGGAATTTAAACCAGCTTACCAACTGGGAATCATTACAGTTGCAAGGAAGATGAAAATTATTCCAGTTAATTGTTATGGCTCATGGCTGCCTAGTCACCAGTGATTCAGCAGGAACTTCACCTTCAAAACATCCCAATTCCCTTTGACACTCCAAAGCCAGGAAAGGAAAAAAAACCTCATGGATGAGAAACCAGAGATAAAACCCTGTTCCAGCAGAACTGGGGATAGGCCATCTCCCCTGCCTTGCAGAATATCCCATCTCTCCTCCAGCCTGCAGCAAAGCCACACAAAGCGGCAGCTGCACATACACACGCTGAATTGCCTGTCAGCTTGCATGTCTGACAAGCTTCAAAGGACGTAAGGCACTGATGACAAACGCATGTGCACACACACACATATATATGTGTGTATGTAGGTATATATACAGACACATGCATACATATGGCTCATGGCGGACTATAACACACACACACACAGTCTCCACATTTCTCGCTCCCTCTCTCTCTCCAAAACCACTCATTTCCCTAGGGGCAGGGAAGCAATGCCAGCAACACACCTACATGAAGCATTAAATCAACTGGGCTGGGAGTAGGAGTTGCGGAGCTGCGTTTTATTTCAGCACCCTTGGCAAACACCCACTGAACACTGCAAATGAGCAGCAGCCCCGGGGGCTAGAGCAATGGGCAACTGATGATAGGAAGGCTGGAGGAATAAAAGGATCACTGAGTTCATGACAAGAAAATGTGCTGATCAGTCAGACAGGAGAGACTGAGAAGCAGTAGAAAATGGAGCCTTGAGCAGAACCTGGCTGGTCCCAGGTGCGACCAAGAAGGATGAAACAAACAGCCAAAACATGGCTGAAAACCTGAACAGCTTTGCATCAAGGCAGGGAATGCAACTTTTTCCAGGGTGGGTGCTACAGAATCACAGCATAGTATGTCAATTCTTGGGAAAGCACTTGTCTCCATATGCTGAGGTCTCCTCCCAAAGTTACAGCTGTCACAGGCATATCAACAAGTAGAAGAGAACAACCCTCCGTCCTGACAGACCAGCCAAGACACCTGCTTCGGGGATCTCTTGCTCCCCAGTTGTGCTCCACCCCTCCGCTTGCTCGCAAGAGCCAGTCCCTCTTCAATCAGCGTCTGGCTGACAGCCCCAGATTTGCCATTCTCAGCAAAAGGCTGTAAGCTTTGTACTGAGTCTGAACGGCCTCAGGCTTCCTGGGCTTGCTCGCTCTGAACTTCTCTTGACCTGCCTGTAGCTGTTTTACTTGGTTGAGCTGTGACAGCAATTTCTCTAACTGACCAGGTGTCTATGGCTAATTTGTTTTACTACTGTTTATCTTTGTGTGATACAACCATAGTTTTATATAAATAACAGTAACAAGCAGTTATTTTATGTAGACTGAGATATTTACAACATGACAACATAGTGGAGAGAAATGCTTGGCAGCAGAGACCCCACGGTTGTGAACATCTCACCCACAGTCCGTTAAAGAAATACAGACCTGGAGCTGAACAAAACAGGTTTTAGGGGTAACAAAGAAAACAAAGAGATAATATCCAACATGCATGAAAGACACCATACACAGTGAATTCAGAAATATCGTGGAGCTGCAGACCAACAAAGAAAGGAAGGTGTGAAAGTGTGTTAGCAAACATACAAAAAGTGACCCAGGTGGACCCTGGAGTGAGGAATAATCCAGCAACATCCACATCATACTTCTCCCAGTGAAGGGCTACAAAGGCTGAAGATTTAAGGTGTTACTCCCCAACAACTGACTTTAAGATCCAGAGGAGCAACACAAGGGTGAGCATAACACCAGGAAAAATTAATAGAAATGAAGAAAAGTGTTACAGTTTTAGTTGCATTATCACAATTATTGAGACTTTTTCTATATAGAAGTATTCTAATGCATTATTATTCTTTTTCTGTAACAGTGCTAGAGTAAAATAATTCTTGAATTAGAGTGTTAAGAATTCAGTTATACTAACAATAAATTCTTGCCCTTTTTTATTTATACACATAAACAGCCCATATATATAAGGGGTGCTTCCTCTTTGCCCACAAACAACACTGAGTGTAACAAAGCCCAAGGGGAGTCCCTCAGAGAAAAGAAAACGCACCGATCTAGGGGAAGAGGAAGCAATGAAAGGCAAGTTGAAGAAAAAAAAAGAAAAAAAGATTTAAAAACCCCAGGCAAATAGCAGTTCAGAGGGAAAGGCAGGAAAGATAGAGATAAAGAGAAGCAAAGTTTACAATAAAATTCCTGCAGAATAATCAAATCTGCCATCAAGCGCTGAGCAAATTCAGCTCTCCAGACCAACAATATAACAAGAGAAGAAGGGAGCTCTCTCTGAAGGCACGCTGCTGGGAGCAAGTACCTCCCTGCAGAGATTCGCAGACCCAGCTGGGCTTACACGGGAACATCTGGCTCTACACTTCAGGTCTACACCAACTTCTCTGCAAGAGCAGTTCCCACCACGTCACAAAGCCTCAAAAACTGAGTAAGTGTCTTCCTTTAAAATCAAGTCCCAAAGGAAAAACATATCCCACTTGCAAGCAACTGGCCAACACCTCCGTTTCCAGCAGCAAGTGCAGCCAGATTATTCCCTCATTGTGCCTGAGCAGCTTGGGAGCAGGGAGAAAGATCTATACATCAAACTAATCATCTGGGGCAGATGAACATGACAGCTCATGGCAGATGCCTCAGGGCTTTAATTGTTTTACCATGAGCAAGCAGTGTAGTCAATATTAAAATGGCATCAATCAAAGGAACAAAACAAAAAGTAATACAAGTTAACTCTCTCCCTTTCTCATCTAACTAACCTTCAGAAAGAAGCAGACTGAGGCAGGTCTGTCTCCCAGCCCCCTCACCACCACCATCTCCCTGGGGAGGATGGTCACACGGAGGGTAAGGCACTCGGCAGGCGATGGGCCTCCGGTGCCCATCGACCCGGCGTTGATCTCTCCTGTGTTCCAGAGCAGACGGCAAAAGCCCCCACTGCGGCAGAGAAACTGGAGCAGCTTTTCCTCTTGAACGCTTTGGTAAGCATAATCCCCACCATATCTCTGTAAGAGTGTCAGAGACAAAAAAAACCCAAACCGGCTTCTTCAAAAGCATGGAGTTAAAGAATCACCCACTCCAAACTGTCAGTTGTTTTCAGCTCCTCTAGGCATGGCAAAGCTCACAGCTGCCTCGGGCAGCAGGCTGCCAGGGCCAGCAAAAAGGCAATAAAGCCTCCTGCCAGCCCTGCCTATTCGGAGCCCTACGAGGTCAGGCTGGTGGATGCTGAAAGAACGGGCAGGGGGGAGCCTGCTTCTCCCCCCAGCTGCTGTCGGTGCCACAACCCACAGGAAGCCTGCCACAGCCCCCAGGCCCAAACGCCCAGAGCTCTTGCCGGCTCCCTGCCCCAGCCCTGCTGCTTCTCAGAGCAGGAACAGGTCAGACATTGCCGGACTGGCAAAATTCAATTCTGCCTATATTATCTTTTTAGGAGCCTTGTGACAGCTCTGGCTTTAATGGAAGATGAGCATTTACCTCTGCTTTTCCTGTATCTCAGCACAATATAGAGCATTTTAAATGCACTAAAATTCTTCTTCAGAGAAGTTAATGAGCATCAGTTGTCAGGAGATCTGAAAAGACAGCTTTCCTGGAAGGAGAAGCAATCATGATAAAACCCAGTTTTGCTTTCTCATATATCTACATCTCTTGTCACAGACAAACGTGGTCAGGTTAGAGTCCAAGACTAAGAAGCATTAGGTCAGCGTTGCAAAAGCATAGCAAATGACACCAAAGGCAAGGAAGTGGCTGGTATCAGCTCTGTCGATCCCTGGTATCAGCTCTGTCGATCCTTGACTGCCAGCCAAAAGAACCAGGTTCAGGTGTACAACAGGCCAGTGCACGTGTGCACACGTTGCAGGGCATGGCTTCCAGCGCAGGGCACGGCTTCCAGCGCTAGCCCAGCAGGGAGGGCCAAGTCCTACAGCTGGTTCCTAAGCAACAGGCAGGGCACTTCTGGGCATACTTACAATAAAAAAAATACACTGCTTCTTGGTGCTTCTTAGCTATCCTAACACGATGCTCTCACCTTTAACTTGTTGCCTTTCTGACACCAGCTGAAACCTGAGACCATCTACAGTGCCAGATTTTCCAGGAAGAGGAAAAGGACCGACTCCCTGTTGTTCACACCTGGTGATGGGATATATCCTTTGGACTGTATGTACTTCTTTTAAGTTAAACTCTGCAATTTGTGTCAAGGTTGCCAGGAGACACAGTGCCTGTTTTGAGATTCTTAGAAAGGGTGGAGCTCAGCTGAGGCGGCTGGTATCTCATTTTCATCCCATACTTTGCTATTCAGTCTCCATTCCCCCCCCTCGCTCTTATGCAAGCTCAGGACTTGGCTCACGAGCAAGTCGTGTTGCCGCACCAAGAGGCTGGTTGCTAGGAGGTATAACTGCTGGAGAGATACAGAGCAGGTAGAGGAGAGAGCAGGTCACTACCTGCAGGTACACAGGCTTTCAGACACTCCTGCTCAATGCCATTCCCCCTCCTTTCTCAGGCAATGGGGCAAACCCCAGGGGGTTGCAGAGCTTCAAGCTGAGAAAAGGCCTACATGTTGAAAAGGCTACATGCTGAGAAAAGGCTGTGGATGTTGCCTACCTAGACTTTAGTAAAGCCTTTGACACCATTTCCCACAGCATCCTCCTGGAGAAACTGGCTGCTCATGGCTTGGACAGGCATACTCTTCACTGGGTAAAACCTGACTGGATGGCAAGGCCCAAAGAGTTTTGGTGAATGGAGTTTAAATCCAGTTGGCGGCCAGTCACAAGTGGTGTTCCCCAGGGCTCAGTATTGGGGCCAGTTCTGTTTAATATCTTTATCAATGATCTAGATGAGGGGATCGAGTGCACACTCAGTAAGTTTGCAGATGACACCAAGTTGGGTGAGAGTGTTGATCTGCTTGAGGGTAGAAACACCCTGCAGAGGGACCTGGACAGGCTGGATCGATGGGCCCAGGCCAATTGTATGAGGTTCAACAAGGCCAAGTGCCGGGTCCTGCACTTGGGCCACAACAACCCCATGCAACGCTACAGTCTTGGGGAAGAGTGGCTGGAAAGCTGCCTGTCAGAAAAGGACCTGGGGGTGGTGGTTGACAGCCGGCTGAACATGAGCCGGCAGTGTGCCCAGGTGGCCAAGAAAGCCAACAGCATCCTGGCCTGTATCAGAACTAGTGTGGCCAGCAGGAGTAGGGAAGCTATTTTCCCTCTGTACTCAGCACTGGTGAAGCTGCACCTCGAATACTGTGTTCAGTTTTGGGCCCCTCACTACAAGAAAGATGTTGAGGTGCTGGAGCGTGTCCAAAGAAGGGCAACGAAGCTGGTGAAGGGTCTAGAGCTCAAGTCTTATGAGGAGCGGCTGAGGGAACTGAGGTTGTTTAGCCTGGAGAGAAGGAGGCTGAGGGGAGACCTTACTGCTCTCTACAACTACCTGAAAGGAGGTGGGTGTCAGTCTCTTCTCCCAAGTAACAAGCAATAAGACAAGAGGAAATGGCCTCAAGTTGCACCAGGGGAGGTTTAGATTGGGTCTTAGGAAAAATTTCTTCACCGAAAGGGTTGTCAAGCATTGGAACAGGCTGCCCAGGGAAGGGGGGGGGGCACCATCCCTGGAGGTATTTATAAGACGTGTAGATGTGGTGCTTAGGGACGTGGTCTAGTGGTGGACTTAGCAGTGCTAGGTTAACAGTTGGACTTGATGATCTTAAAGATTTTTTCCAACCTAAACAATTCGATGATTCTATGTTCCAAAATAGCCAAGGCAGCATGAGCGTTGCAACCACTCCTCTTCCCTATTCCACTAGCATGCGGTAGCTTTCCAAACCTGTCAAAGCTTCCCACTTGCAGAGCTCTACCAGAGTGTTTAGCTGTTATTAAAAAAAAACAGACATGCTTGTTCTCTCACTTCAATTTCTTTGCACATAAACTGCATATGACCCTCATCACAGGACTGCTTTTTTTTTTTTTAAATAGTGACTTCCCTTTAGTTCACATGCTGGTTAATGAGATCAAAGCACAAAGTAACAAACTAACCATCTACATGGGATTATTTCTAGCTTACCTCCCAATTTAAAAAGCAAATTGGTACAATTGGCACAGTGAAAGACTGAGGACAGTCAGCATTTCTCTTAATAAGGCAGGTTAAAGTCAGATATGACCAATATAATTAAAACAGCAACTGTTGTAGCTATTCTGACAGGCACGATAACACTCTCCCATTGAGGAAACTGGAGTATTTGCCCTGGAACTAGGATGGAAGCAGTAACAAGCATGTACTATATAGCTCTCCTTAATATGGTTTGTCAGGCAACCCAAACAGCAGCAAACTCACAGGACTCCTCCAAGAAGCCCTACCTTTCCCTGCTTGCAGCCTCAGGAATCCAGCACAGGGAACCTTCAAGGGCAGTTAAGTGCTTTTTCTTTGTCACAAGAATTCTAATTGCAGCCTTGCAAAGATAAAAGCATTTCCATTTCCCTGCTCTCACTTTCTTCATCACTAACATTTTTGGCAACAGCAAGAATCCACACTCTAACATAAACTTTCTTGAGGGCTCAGCTAATACTTCTGGCCCCCCAACACACACTGCACAGGCAGTGACTGGACCTGCCACACCAGTTGTGTGAGGCAGTGTGGGACTGAAGCTACCTAACTAGACTTGCCCTACCCACACTACCGAACTTTATTTACAGCTCACTCACACCACTGCAGCATCACACACAGAAAGAAACCCCCTCTCCAGGATTTCCATCACTGGAGGTGACAGCACATTCACGCTGCCTGCACACACACTGCAGGCAAGGAGCCTTCCTTGGCCCACAGGAAAGGTCCTTCAATTCATTCTTACACTAAAAACCATCCCCAACTTCACTGCCAGTTAAGCACAAGAGTTGCTTATAGTTAACACAATTGTGTGCCATGCTGTGGTACTGAAGGGTCAGAGTTCAAAGGTATATGGTATCGAAGAAGAGAGGGGTGGAACAAGAAAAGCTTTTACTTATTTCTTTGAAATAATCAAAGAAATTGCATGTAAAAACACTCCGATGTTCAAAAAAATGCAAAACGCACCACTGAAGAGATGCGTATGCAACCTCCATCCAATTTCCTTCTACAAAACCATTCTGAGAGCATTTCTTTCCAGCACCGCCCCATTCTGCTCTCCTCTCTCTATCAAGAACCAGGCTTGCTCAGCACTGGGAACAGGTACAAAGGACACAGAGGCAGTGGTGTTGGCAGCATCTGGTGTTCTTTGCCTTAATCACGTCCTTAACTTTCTGTGCATACACCTACAACAACGTCACCTGAGCTCATGTCCCATGTGTAGAACCAGCTGTGGAACGTTCAGCAGGAGCAGCACACTGCAGAGGCTCTTAAGAAGCAGCACAACCTGTCTTTGTAGACTCTACCACCTTGAGGGCTGACTAGTATGTGATGTTGGGAGAAGAGTGTCCAAACTAGCAAGGATAAGGATTGCTGTACAAGACAGCAGTTTTTAAGTCATCTGTTTAATACCCAGCTCCTATTATCTACAACTCCATAAGGGAGAAAATAGGAAACTGTTACTCTTATTTTGAGAAAAAGGTGCAAGCTGGGAGAAGCAAAGTGATTTTCTCTACCATCCAGTCCCGTGGCAGACCAAAAATAGAGGAAAAAAGTCTCAGTTCTCCATGCCCTACAATACATTGCCTCTTCCCCATTGCTGGCTTTTTTCAGAAAAGTCTTCCTATCCTTCAGACAAACTCTCACTATCATCCCAAATACAGAACAACATACAGAACAACATACCTCTGGTGAGACCCCAGCTGGAGTACTGCATGCACCTCTGGAGTCCTCAGCACAAGAAAGACATGGACCTGTTGGAGCGGGTCCAGAGGAGGGCCACAAAAATGATCAGAGGGATGGAACACCTCTCCTGTGAGGAAAGGCCAAGAGAGTTGGGGTTCTTCAGCCTGGAGAAGAGAAGGCTCTGGGGAGACCTTATTGCAGCCTTTCAATACTTAACGGGGGCTTATAGAAAAGACGGCGGCAAACTTTTTAGTAGGGCCTGTTGCAATAGGACAAAGGGTAATGGTTTTAAACTAAAAGAGCGTAGATTTAGACTAGATATAAGGAAGAAACTTTTTACGATGAGGGTGGTGAAACACTGGAACAGGTTGCCCAGAGAGGTGGTAGATGCCCCATCCCTGGAAACATTCAAGGTCAGGTTGGACGGGGCTCTGAGCAACCTGATCTAGTTGAAGACATCCCTGCTCATTGCAGGGGGGGTTGGACTAGAGGACCTTTCGAGATCCCTTCCAACCCAAACTATTTTATGATTTTTGTGCCCCCAACCCTGTAATTTTGAAGGTGAGGAGGGGAAGGAGGAATAGAGTTATCAGCTCATCTCTGAACTGAACCCAGTTTTCTGCTCAACTCAAAGCAGGGTTGCCCACATCCCAAGGAGATGTTCTCAGGAAATTTGTTCTGGGGAAAGGCACCTGCACCCGCTCATGCACTCCCTCTCTCCACAGAATTCCTGGTGAAATTTGTGAAACGTTTCCCAAAATGTTTCATTGCAACTGGACCATTCCCTTGAAAAATTCTCAATTCAGTCTAAACGTCAAAAACCATCTGGCAATCTAAACAGGTCAAGGCTTCCTGTTGTGGCTTTTAGGGGTTTGTTTGGGGTTTTTTGTTTTGGTTTGTTTGTTTGTTTGTTTTTAAACAGCAGCAAACTCTGCTACCAAGCGTCACCAGACTTCAGCTTCGATTCATCCCTGAGCCTAGAGAGCAGGTATTGCCTGTCAACAGGGTGGGTCCTCCTCCTGGAAGGGCTGCAAGAGGAACCACAGACGGCTGCTCCTTGCTTGAGGGGGGTTCTGCAGCGACACTGAGATGCAGCAGCATGCTCCTATGCTGAGCACAGCTGCAGACTCCAGCCCATTCCTGGTGCCTGACAGAAAGGAGGAAACACAGAAGCATGGATGAGCACAGGCTCCCCCCAGATAGGATGGGATGTACAAAGGAAGCACTTTGGAAGAAAGGGCTCCTATCATGTGGCTTCTGTGGAAAGACAGGATAAACGGGCACATTGGTACCTGGCGGCTTGAGGGAGGATGCCATATCAGACCTACTGCTGCTGCCAGATCCTCAAATCGTAACTGTGGGACAGTGTCACATTTCATCTCTATTTCTCCCAAGGCTGTAGCAGCCAGCTACAGAACAGCAACGCACTCCCTTGTAACTTGAAGGCTGGATTAGCGTATGGCACTCTGGAGAAGTAACCAGAAGCTCTGTGTACATCAAAATAGCAGCTCTATGTACAAGACAGCAGCTTGTCTCAAAGGGAGCTGGCAACACCAAACATCAGCACTGCTCTGACTAGTTTTTCAATACCAAGTGCGACACAAGGTACAACGTCACACAGGGTCTGAAGCCAAGCGTCCCACGAGATTCCTGCTGTTCACCACAAGAGCTTCAACCTACTCCACTCCTGACGAAGATGACATTAACCACCTCCGCAGCCAATGGCTGTGTTCTCAGAGTCAAGGGCTCATGCTCCCAACATCTTGCCTCCAGCAGTCTGACAGCACCCCGATGGTGCAGTCTTCAGTGCATGCAGTACAGACAGCAGCACTTTTGGCAGAAACTTGACACAGTCTCCCTCTGGTTTAGTAAGAAGCTTTTCTGCCAAGCTATTTTGAGGTTTTGTCCTATTTTTCTCCCTTTTCTGCTGGGCAGCAGGTTTGCTGCAGGTCTGGAGCTTTGCAGCTATTTCATTATTTAAGATTCTACCAAATGTTACATCCTCAGTTGTTTGTCGCAAGTAAAGATTTTAAATTAACTAGACATGACTTCAAAAGCCCACACACACACACACGCCTGGGGGCTGGCTGATGGAAACTGCCTGGAAGTTGATTTGACAGGCTTGACTCCATTCTGCTAAGGAGGAGTTTGCCTGCAGCTCTAGGTGATCGCTAGTACTGCTTCATTTGCTTCTTCATAGAATCATAGAATCATTAAGGTTGGAAAAGACCTCTAAGATCATCGAGTCCAACTGTCAACCCAACACCACCATGTCCACTAAACCATGTCCCTAAGCGCCTCATCTACATCTCCTCTTCTGCCAAACCAAGTGAGATTACAGCTGAACTGGATCAATACACAACCATTCAGCAAACAACTCTACTTCTTAGGTGCAGTTTTATACAGAGACATGGATTCAATGTGGAAGAGTCTCCAGCACTCACAAAAAGGGAAACCAAGCAAAAAACAATGTAGAAATTCTTGCCTAGCTGTACAGCCATGTGAAAACAGCTCAGACAAGTAAGACTGCACCTACTCCATTAGGCAGGGTCTTTTCTGTCTGAAGTGCAATGATGGGGATTCAGGACTGGACCTAGCTGCTACCTAGACGGGAAGAGGGCAATTGCTCCAGGACTGCATGATTGTTACTTGTGAATCTCACAGGCCAACAGCAAGAGAGCAGGGGAAAGGCCATAGCCCTCTTAAATCCAGCTCTGCAAATTAAAATATCAAAGTTATGATTCTTTGGCCTGAGATCCCCTGTTGCAAAGGGGATCTCCATTCTCTTGTCCCAAGTGCAAAGAGTTTGCTCACTTGCCAGAAACTAAGACTGCATTAGCCTTCCTCAGCCCACCCTCCCTGTCTAATCTACATTAATAAAAGCAAGGAGTGAAAGGAAGTATTTTACACTTCAGGTCTTCATGCCTCAGTGCAGATACGCTCCTTTCCCTCCAGTGGGTATTTAAGACAGGGAGATTTAAGAGTTAAACAAAGTATCCCTGCTTCTTTCTGAGAGATCCGCTATTGCTAGGGAAGGAAAGGGAGGGAAGGGTTTGGCTACTTTTCATCATCTTTTTGGACACTTTCAGGACACTGAAACCTGGTGGTGTTCCCTCTTGGCACAGAAAAATTTGTTTGGTTTGGTTGTAACGGCCCAACTCAAACCCAGCTGCAGACACAGCTCTTCAATTCAAACTGTGTTCAACAATCTCAATGAAGGGGATTTTCCCATCTTCCTCTCTGGGTCCACCACCACAATTGTGCCAGCTGGAAAATCTCCCCAGATGGCATGTACAAGCACAGTAGCCTCACAGAGAAATGCATTAACAACAATCCAGATTCCTGGGAGACGAGGAGGGAAAAGAGGTCTAACCCTTGAAAGGCAATTGTCCCATTTTAAAGGGGACAAAGTAAGCTGCGTCTGGTGTGGCCACAGATGCTGAAATTTGCTTTGAACCATAGATGAGAACTTCTCTTAATTTTAGGTTAGGTTTCTACAGTCTTTACAACACCGCAGGATTCTCCTTTAGAAAACAACACACAAAGAAGGCCCAGCAATTCTCCTTCAGAGGTTTGGGTAAAGTAAAATTGAAGGACCCAGCACCAGCAGAACTGGATTTATCTACTGGCAACCCAGCAGTTTGAGTATTTCAATCTCCCTGTACTCATTCAAGCTACATTTGGGATACAGCCTAATAGCATTAGCATTTATGCTAGGGAAAAATTAGTGAAGAACTGTACCTGCACAGAGCAGTAGAGCTTTGCACAAACTGCACACGTACCAAAAGGTACACTGGGTCTATGAAGAAGTGGATTCCTTCTGTGTATCTACAGCTTTCTAAAGGCAACCACCACTCTGGCATCCAAGCAAAGGGATCAATTAGTTAAGAAAAATATGCTCTGAAATAAGGCAGGAATACTTGTCATCTTACAAATTAGGATTTCATTGTCCATGTGGCCACCAATTCTAACCCGGCCACAGTGGTCGTAAGTCTTGAAAAGATCCCAGTTCAGAACAGCATTTTGCCTCGTTCACTGGCAGTCATCTACTAGACCTGCCTCTCACAATTCCTTCTTGTACCTCACTGACCAAAACCTCCCACCTTAAAGAGAAAAGAAAGCAAAAGGTAACATCATGCCTGGTAAAGTTACGCAATGTTTATCCTAAATGTTTTTCTTCCATTGTGGGTTATATGCAGCTTAAGATAAAGGGAAATTGTTCTAAGCTGATTATTTATTATGTTGTGCAGTAATCCATCTATATAACGATGGAAAATGATGATTAAAACTTTCCAAAAGACTCCACATGTGGATGGGCTGGAAACCACTTAGCCTTACAGCCTATCTACCAGAAATGGAAAGAGGTATTTGGGAGCAAACCAACAACCACTTCTGCAAAAGAAAAATCCTGTCTTTCAGCTTTCAGTAGGATTTACCACTCAATTGTGCAAGACAGCTCCACATGCTGAGCATACTCCTGGCTGGATTAAAACCAATTCACTCATTTCCCACTGTGCTCCTCCCCTTCCTCCCTTCGCTGTGACACAGACCGTGGTCACTGCCCTGCCTGTGCAGGACCTGACACTTACCTCCCTGGATCCATGGACAGGGAGCCAGGAGGGGTATGACTCAGAAGGGCTGACAGAGTTAAGAGGCTTCCACTCAGTACTGCAAACCAGCCAAGGACGAGGGGTGGAACAGGGGGAGACACAGTGAAATGAGAAAAGGAGACTGTGGCTCGATTCTGCTGCAGCACAGGTTGGCACATGAGAGCCTGCTGCACTGACATCCAACATGCACGGCACAGCAGCAGTAAAATAAAATTTGACCCAGACAGCTGCAGAGTTTTCCGATTTTGAACACATCATACCACTATTCACTTCTGAATATCAGTTGTCCTATCTCAAAAAAACCTCAAGGTGATAAAGCTGAAGCAAGAACAAGTCTAGCTCTTCAACAAGATCTTGTGGCAAAAAGCAGCAGGAGAAAAGACTTAGTATCTTCATCTTAACTTTGATCATATAGCTCCTTCTTTTATTGTCCCTCCCTTCCTATGTACAAACAAGGATGATTCATTCTGAAATGGTACAGAAT